GTCTTTACTATTCTTGTAATATTAGCTAAACAGATAATGTAGTTTGTAAAGATACACACTAAGCTACATTTTACATTTTGGAAAATATTTTAGACTATTTACTTGTATTTTAATATTTCTAATTGTGCTCATAGAATATCTGAAATCAAAATTATATAAACATGGGCATATCCTTCAATTTACACAGATGTATTTCTGGTCACCTGAACTTACCAAGAGTGAGCAAGCATATTGTCACCCACTTGGTCATTCTGCATTTATTGAACTTCTCCCATATGGGATGCCTGCTCTTAAAGAGGGATGGAAGTGGGGGCTACAGTGTGAGAAGTAGTATAGGGTATTGCAGAGGACTTGCACACAAGGCAGAAATAAAACCATCTGCCTGGATTGGGAATAGAGGCTAGGACTAGGGGTTGGGAGGAAAGCCAGGGTCCGGCTACTTTTATCCTTGACAAACTCACACTAAGGCATTCATGAAATACTTTACCTTGTCTCTGTAATTATCGAATTTACAATTGGGTTATTTTGAAGCAAGAAAGGACTGGATTTACCTTTGGTTTTCTCTTAGTATGTAATTTTACATTGTATGGCTTGGGGAAAATCAAAATCTGTTTAAACTCTTTATAATAGTAATAATAGCTAACACTTATATAGCACCTATGATGTGTCAGGTGCACACACACATATATTTATTATTACTGCCATTCCACAGATGAGAAGGTAACATTTAGTAAGGTCACAAAACTAGTCATTGACAGAGGGAGGATTTGAATCCCCACTGAGTGCCTGAGCCACCAGCGTATGTTCTTAATCCTTGTGCTATATGGCCTTGCAGGTCTTTAATCAATATTCATATACACGTGTTAGTGGTCTACCCATGATAACTTTTAATTTAATGTTTGTTTTGAGGTAACAGAGGTATTTCAGGCTGGAGATCATGCAGTTGTTATTCGGTATTTGAAATGGGAACATGCAAATTCTTTATCCTCTTGAAAAGATTTTGTGATAACATGAAAATAATCAAAGAGCTAAGTTATTTAGAGATTTATAAAACAGCTAAAACATAATAGTCTAAAGAGAAATGCTTTCTTAGTCATTATGTGGGAGGCTAGAATTGCAGTACATTTTCTTGAGGAGAGGAATAATTAGAATAACCACAAACAAAGAAGACCAAAGGATATATAAATTTTTTTGCTAATCAAGTAGAAAAAAGTCTGTAAACATTTTGTGTTAAATACCTGGGTTGAAGCAGCAGTCTGCCTGAGATAAATAATATTTCTCTCTTTAATTTCACATACCTTTCCCTGATGTTTAAAATTTAATGATGCTCAGAGGGTAAAGAATCCCCATCAGTTGCAAAATACAATGAGTGTCTACTCTCTTAATGTTGGCAGTGGTAGGAGTCTTGATCACAGGCTACTCTTGTCATTATACTAAGTAGTTTTTAAAAACACACAATTTATTTATAGTCACCCATCCCATCTGAATCTTCTCTCACCCTGTCATAATTCGTAACAGTTCTTTCTAAATCTGTTAAGATGTTATGCTGTTTTTCAATAAATATGCCAATGCAAATGCAAATATCTGATTGGAGGAGAGTTTTATTATTAAAACAAATACTAGTGGTGTTAGCATGTAAACAAATACTACTTCTTTGGTTTCCTCTTTTGGTACCGTATACTACTTTTAATTTTAGCATTAAAACAAATATGAGTGGTGTTAGCATGGTATTCTAGCCTTGTTGTCCTTGAAACAGGAACACTGAGTCTTATAATTACTCTGCCCCAGCTACATTTTCTTTGCCTCAGGGGTCTAGATCTGCTCCATATTCCCTGAGTGTATGTGCACTCTCAAGCTCCTGTGACTTAGCATTGAGATGCCCTTGTCCATTCCTGTCACAACTCAGCAGTTCATATTCTTCCCCTTTTGAAAGTTTTTCCGCCATAAAGCCAAACTTAGATGCCAGTTCTCCCCACCTTTCTCTCTATTCACATAGCATCCTGTGCATAACTTCCTCAGAGTTCTTATTACTGTATTTTTCCATGTATAATGAGTACTTTTTGCCTAAATTTTTGAAGGAAAAATAAGGACGTGCATTATACATGGGTAGTAGTAATTCCATATCTGTATAAATGTTTTCAATTCATTTATTTATATTTATGCATTAAAAGTGCAACTCTAGAAAACCATAACGATACCTGTATGCAAAATAATACTTTGGAATATAACAGCAGGTTTTTCTTTTTGTGGTATTAAATACTCTTTTTTTTTTTTTTATTGTTCAAGTACAGTTTTCTGTCTTTTACTCCCATCCCAACCCAAATACTCTTATATTTTATGAAGTTTGCATAGATGTTGTTTTTATACACTATGCAGATTTATCTTTCTATAATCTGTCTTATATGGAGAGAATATTAAAATCATACATATTTTGAAATCCATTGATCCCCATTTATAGAGCAGAACAGAGCAAAGGTCAGTTTTTTAACATACACTGAATTATGCTTGAGACTACATTTTGAAGGTATAATCTTTAGTCTTATAAATGCATAAAATCAGTCAGAAGCAAAGAACCATGACTGGGATTGCCAGTGCCAATGTATTACATGCTATATACCTCAAATTACATTATTAGCATACTATGTAGATTAATTGGCTTTAAGACAATCATTGAGGTCTAGAGACTTCCAGCCAAGATGGAGGCATAGGCAGATACACTTTGCCTCCTCTCACAAACAAAAGAAGAACAACAAATTTAAAAACAAAACAACCAAAACTGACAGAAAATTGAACTGTATAGAAGTCTGACAACCAAGGAGTCGAAGAGGAAACATTCATCCAGACCAGTAGGAGGGGTGGAGACAGGCAACTGGGGCAGAGAGGACTTGCAGCAAGATGGCGGCTCACATGCACACTGGCAGGTTGAACATTTGCTTATGGATAAACTGGGAGGAACAACTGGAGAGTGAGACAAACCATGCAACCCAGGGTTCCAGTATGGGGAAATAAAGCCTCAAACCTCTCACTGAAAAATCCTGTGGAGGTTGAGGTGGCAGGAGAAAGTCCCAGCCTCACAGGAGAGTTCGTTGCAGAGACAGACAGAGTCCTAGAATGTAGGCAAAACCACCCTCTTGGGAGTCAGCACCAGAAGGGCCCAATTTGCTTATGGGTAACAGGGGAAGTGACTGAAAGTGTGAAGAGAGTGGGGCAAGCAGCACTGTTCCCTCTCAGACCCCTCCCTCACAGACAGCGCCATAGCACAGCTATGTGGGTTGCCCCGTCCTGGTTAACACCCAGGGCTCCACCCATTACTATGTAACAGGCATGCCAAAACCAAAAAAAAAAAAAGGCCCAAATGAGAGAACGGAGCAAAGCTCCAGAAAAAAATACAACTAAGTGTTGAAGAGACAGCCAACCTATTGGAGGCACAGTTCAAAAACACTGGTAATCAGGATGCTCACAGAAATGGTTGAAAATGGTCAAAAAATAAAGGAAAAAGTGAAGGCTATGAAAAGAGAAATGAAGGAAGACATACAGGGAACCAACAGTGAAGAGAAGGAAACCGGGACTCAAATGAACAGTTTGGACCAGAAGTTAGAAATAAACATTCAACTAGAACAGAATGTAGAAACAAGAACTCAAAAAAATGAGGACAGGCTTAGGAACCTCTGAGACAACTTTCAGTGTCCCAACATCCGAATCATAGGGGTGCCAGGAGAAGAAGAACGGCAAGAAATTGAACACTTACTTGAGCAAATAATGAAGGAGAACAACTCTAATTTTGCAAAGGAAATAGACTTCCAGGAAGTCCAGGAAGCTCAGAGAGTCTCAAAGAAGTTGGACCCAAGGAAACACACACCAAGACACATCATAATTACATTACCCAAGATTAAAGATTAAGGAGAGGATCTTAAAAGCAGCAAGAGAAAAGGAGACAGTTACCTACAAAGGAGTTCCCATTAGGCTATCAGCTGATTTCTCCAAAGAAACCTTGCAGGCAAGAAGGGGCTGGGAAGAAGTATTCCAAGTCATGAAAGGCAAGGACTTCCATCCAAGATTACTCTATCCAGCAAAGCTATAATTTAGAATGGAAGGGCAGATAAAGTGCTTCTCAGATAAGGTCAAGTTAAAGGAGTTCATCATCACCCAGCCCTTATTATATGAAATGTTAAAGGGACTTATCTAAGAAAAAGAAGATAAAAAATATGAACAGTAAAATGACAATGAACTTACAGCTATCAACAACCAAAGTTAAAATAACAAAAACAAGCTAAGCAAACACCTAGATCAAGAACAGATTCAGAGAAATGGAGATCACATGGAGGGTTATCAGAGAGGAGGAAGAGGAGGGGGGTGAATGGGGGAAAAGGTAAAGTAAATAAGCATAAATGGCTACAAAATAGACAGGGAAAACGTGTTAAGAATAGTATGGGAAATGGAGAAGCCAGAGACTTTACATGTATGACCCATGGACATGAACTAATGTGGGGGAATGATGAGGGGGTTACAGTGTGGAAGGAAATAAAGGGAAGAAAAAAATGGGACAACTGTAATAGCATAATCAAAATATTTTTTAAAAATATTGAGCTGTGATATATTTGGGGATTTCACTTAGTAAAGCAAATTGTTTCTTATGTTACATCAGGTTATATATGGCATCTTTGCTTTTAATCACAATTTTGTTTTCATAGAGAGCTTGGCAGTGTAAGGCATTCTTAGCCAACTAGTAAATTAATTTCATTTTTACATTTTATGACTAATTCATTACCTGTTATAAATTTTATTGATTTGTTTTTTGCTTTGATTTTTGAAAAAACTTTTATAATATTTTAAAATTACAGTTAATATTCTACTTTATCATCTTTACTGTAAATCCAACAGGACCTAAATTTTATTTATTTTTTTACTAAAACAGAAGTTGACTAGTAATATTCTGTTGATACTTTTAGCCTATCCTGATAGATATTAATTACTTTTTTTGGTTTATTTTGTTCATTTAGAAACCCTTGGTTTTAGTCAAATATCGTCTATTAAAGGAAGACAAACCTGAAGTGGAAGTGGAAATCTAACAAATGAAGACACAGAACCTACTTCGGTTGATTCAAAATGGGAACAACAGGTGATGAGATGGTGTCTATGGACCACACCTGCTCTTCCTCCTTCAATCCTCTGTGTTTTGAATGTGGCCAGCAGCACTGGACAAGAGAGAATCACTTGTATAATTACCAGAATGAGGTGGATGATGACCTGGTCTGCCATATTTGCCTTCAGCCTCTGCTCCAGCCACTAGATACCCCCTGTGGACACACATTCTGCTGCAAGTGCCTCAGAAACTTCTTGCAAGAGAAAGATTTCTGTCCATTGGACCGCAAAAGACTTCACTTTAAGTTGTGTAAGAAGTCTAGTATTCTAGTTCATAAACTCCTGGACAAATTATTAGTGTCATGTCCATTTTCTTCCATGTGCCAAGATGTAATGCAACGCTGTGATCTGGAGGCACATCTTAAAAACAGGTAAGTGAAAAATAAGCAAGAGAGAGAAGTAATTCTAGGTTTTATTAAAAGGTTGGTCAAACAAACGAGTCTGTTGGTCAAACAGACTCTTTTGTGAGTCTGTTCATTGCATGAACATCACTCATGCAATGTTAAAGGAAGTGAGCAGAGTATCAATTCAGTTGCTAATTATTTTGATAACAGTGATAAAAATTTCATAAATTTTTAGGGATTTCTCTTTACTAAAATGTATACAAGAGTTTAATACAGGCATACATCATATTATTGTGCTTTGCTTTACTGTGCTTTACAGATGTCATGAGGGGTTTTTTTGTTGTTTTGTTTTGTTTTACAAATTGAAGGCAGGATGCTCCACCAGCAAAAAGATGTAGCTCGCTTTATTGTGAGACTTGCTTTATTGTGGTGGCCTGGAACCAAGCCCACAGTTTCTCTGAGGTCTGCCAGTATATAGTTGAAGTATCATTAGTATCCTCCATCAAGCTATCTATGTTGGTGATGTAAAAATTCAGAACTTGCAAACTGTTCTTTCAGTTATAGACTGATAAAAGCTAAGTAATTCTGCCTAGTTGAAAGTTCCATTTTCCAAGTGTGCTTATTAATATTTGAGCTACTGATTTAACCATTTCCAAAGTGTCTTAGGCCTATATTGTGAAAGATACATTGAAAAATATGAATGGTTTGAAAAGATGGGTGACTTGATTGATATATAGACCTAAGAGTAACTATTAATTATTATAAATAAAAAGGTAAATTATAAAGTACAATTTTTATATCTCATTGAATAGATATGTATTTAATGGCCTGACCTTTCTCTAGTTTCTCAATTAAAAATGTGGAAATTCAGATACAAATGATTATTATCCATCACTTACTGCTAAATAATATGTAGTTCATTTTGACCATTCAGCAAATATTTATTATCTACTATATGCCAGGTACTGTTCTAGTTCTTAAGCAGTCTCTGTAAACTGATAGATAGTAGGTTAGAGTCTACTGCTGGGTTGTAAATTTCTTCAGGACAAGGACCTTGTCTTTACCAGTCTTTGAATTCCCTTGTCCAGAGTTCACACTCACCTAATGTTTGTTCAGTAACATTGTTAAGCTGTGTTCTGGTTCTCCATTGCTGGGAACTTAACCACCCCAAATATAGTGACATGAAACAAGCATTTGATTCTGTTCATGCATCTGTGAGTCATGGAGGCAGGCAGGGTTCACCAGCCATGGCTTGCCTTTTTCCTTATATCTAGGCCACAGTTGGGAAAAACTAAAAGACAGGGAACTGCAACAGTTGGAACTGGAAAAGCTACCTCCAAGATGGCTTCTTTATTCACATGTCTGACACCTCGATGGAGGTAACTAAAGGAATGGGCTCAGCTAGGACTTGTCAGCTGGAGAGCCTATAGGTAGCTTCTCCTGCCTGGCAGCCTCAGGGTATTTCAAGTTCTTACATGACACTCAGTGTTCTAGTGAATAAGCAGCAGTTGCATGGCCTTGTATGATTTCGCCTTGATGTCACATAGCATCTCTTACGCTGTTATTCTATTTGAAGTTGTCCACCCAGGTATAAGGAGAGGGGGCATAGGCTTCAATTTGTGATGGGAGGACATAAAAATATTTGCAGCCATGTTTTAAAACCAAGAGAAACTAGCAATGAGAGTGATGTCATGAGGCACAGAATATGATTATGAATGTGGCTCTTTGTACACAGTTTCACTCATTTTTTGGGAATTGGTAATTTTTGTTGAAATGCATAAAACTTCAATACCAACAACAATGATTCTTCTATAAAAGTTATGACTATCATGTGTCTTTTTTCTGGAATTTTCATGATTTGGAAATCTCTTAATAGTAAAAATATAACATTAGGAGTGGTTTGCATAAATCAGGTAATTTTGTGTTTAAAATTACCTTCACTGTTGGAATGAAATTCTATCTTGAAGAAATCTTCAGTTTGAGAACAGCTGACATTTTTGGCTACAGCTAAAAGTAAACTATTTATGAAAGATGAATGTGTTTTTAAATAAAATTCTTAGTTATTAACTGATTATATGTTGGTTAAATCATGAAGAATATTTTTTAAGTATGTAACTGCCTTTATTTTTTTTTAGTTTTACTGTTTTTTTCATTGTTGTTCAAGTACAGTTTTTTGTCTTTTACTCCCATCCCGGCCCACCTTCCCCATGCTCCACACCTCCCTCCCATTTCCACCCCCCTTAGTTGTTGTCCATGTGTCCTTTATACTAGTTCCTGTAAATCCTTCCCCTTTTTCCCCTGAAATTCCCTCCCCTCTCCACTCTGGTTACTGTCCCCCTGTTCTCTATTTCAGTGACTTTGGTTATATTTTGCTTGCTTGTTTGTTTTGTTGTTTAGTTTCCTGTTAAAGGTGAGATCATAGGGTATTTGAGGACATACAGAAGATCCAGAGAAACTTGAAAAGATGCTCAATATCACTAGCTATTAGAGAGATACAAATTAAAACCATAATGAGATACCACTTTACACTGGTCAGAATGGCCATCATAAACAAAGCAACAAACAACAAGTGTTGGAGAGATTGTGGGGAAAAGGTGACCCTAGTTCACTGCTGGTGAGATTGCAGACTGGTACAACCACTATGGAAAACAGTATGGAATTTTCTCAGAAAACTGAAAATGGACTTGCCTTCTGACCCAGCAATTCCACTGCTGGGATTATATCCTAAGAACCCTAAAACACCAATCCAAAAGAACCTGTGCACCCCAATGTTCATAGCAGCACAATTTACAATAGCCAAGAGTTGGAAGCAGCCTAGGTGCATGTCAGTAAATGAATGGATCAAAAACTATGGTACATTTACACAATGGAATTCTATGCAGCAGAAAGAAAGAAGGTGCTTCTACCCTTTGCAACAGCATGGATGGAACTGGAAAGCATTATGCTGAGTGAAATAAGCCAGGCGTTGAAAGACAAAAACCATGAAGAATTTTTAAAAATATGGGAAAGTGCCCATCTTTGAAAGGAGAATTAAAACTTTTAAGAAATACTCTGTATATTGTGTACTAAGCATGTAACATTTTAGTAATTACTTTGTGAAATTCTGCCAAGTACCATCAACTATAAAACATCCCTTCTCCCCTGCTCTACCCCTCATTCCTGCCTCACCCTCAACAATTCAGCATTTAAAGCTTATGGGAATTGTAAATGATATATTTTTGTTCTTAAATTGAGAATTGTGTCCCAGTTTATGGCAAGGTTCAGAACCATTTTGTTTCCTCTGAAAAAACTTACATTTTAACAGTATTCTAAAAAGTGTGTACACTATAGAGGAACCCTTTAAAGCAGGTTTTTTTTTTTTTTTCATGCCAAGATCTTTCCTAGGTCATCAAATGGTTGTGGAGCCTTTATAGGTCAGGGTGGTCTGAGGCAAGATTGTTCTTTTAAATTCACATTTTAGCTTAGAGGAAAGTTTGAGTTTGGCACATTCTTATCAGCATTCTTTTCTCATATATGATGTGAAATGTGTATATTTATATATATATATATATCTGATCAGTTTAGTATCCAGAATATGTACAGAATTGTTAAATACCATATGATCTTACCCATAAGTGGAACCTAATCAACAAAACAAGTAACCAAGCAAAACATAACCAGAGACATTGAAATAAAGAACAAACTGACAGTAACCAGAGGGGGAGGAGGGAGGGGGATAATGGGGAAAAGAAAGGGAAGGGTCATCGAGGAACATGTATAAAGGACCCATGGACAAAGCCAAAGGGGGGTAGGTGGGAGGTGGGGATGGTGGAGCAGGAGGGAGGTGGTGAAGGGAAAATGGAGACCACTGTACTTGAATAACAAAAATAATAAAAATAAAGGTCCTGAAAAGAAAAACAAATAAAAGTGAAGCCTTTCGATTTTAAGTGGGCAAAGGATTTGAATAGATATTTCTCCAAAAGTGATATTTGAATGGCCAGTAAGAACATGAACAGATGCTCAAAATTATTAGTCCATTTTTATAATGGATTGTTCTGTTTTTCTAAGTTGTAAGCATTCTATGTATATTCTGGTTATAGACCCATATTAAATATACGATTTGCAAATACTTTCTTTTGTTCTGTCAGTTTTGTTTTCACTTTCTTATGTCCTTTCAAGGACAAACAAGTTTAATTTTTATGAATCTCAGTTTAAGCTAAATTTTTCCTTTGTTTGTGTATGCTTTTGGTGTCATATCTAAGAAGCCATTGCTGGCCCTTGCCAGGTAGCTCAGTTGGTTAGAAAGTCATCCCAACATGCCAAGGTTGTGGGTTCAATCCCTGGTCAGGGCACATATAAGAATCAACCAGCGAATGCATAAATGAGTGGAACAACAAATTGATGTTTCTGTCTCTCAAATAAGTTTTTTTAAAAAACCAACATTGCCTACTCTAAGATTTCAAAGATTCATACCTATGTTTTCTTTAAGACTTTCATTGTTTTAGCTCTTACATTTGGGTCTTTGATCCATTTTGAAGTAATTGTGACTGGAGAACATACTGTGTATGACTCAGTTTTTTCAGTATTATTGGGTTTTTTTTTTATAGCCTAGCACATATAGTCTGTTCTGGAAAATGCTTCATGTGTACTCAGAAAAATGTGTATTTTGCTCTTGATGGGTGGAGTGTTCTGTTAGTCAGGGGTCCCCAGCCCCTAGGCTGTGGACCAGTACCCATCCATGGTGGGGGAGCAAGCAAAGCTTCACTGCATTACCACCTGAGCTCCACCTCCTGTTCTCCTACCCCACCCCTCCCAACCAGTCCATGGGAAAATTCTCTCCCACCAAACTGGACCCCAGTGCCAAAGGTTGGGGACCACTGCTATAGGTATCTGCTGGGTCTATTGATTTAGAGCACAGGTGGCAAACACAAGGCCTGCAGGTGGAATCTGGCCCTCCACCTTGTTTTATCCAGCCTGGCACCTTGTTGCTACCTGATGGCAGTGCCAAACTCTCACTTAACTGTTAAGGAGTAGTTACATTTACACAG